TGTTCTCGGTGCGGTCGGCCTTTTGGGGGGATCTTATTACACGTACGCACGTAGATCACACTCTGTCCACCTTCCCCGCCTTCAATGCACCCCCCCCCCTCCGAGGTTGTGCAACCAAAGGGCAAAACATGCAAACATGTACATTTGTTACGTACGTGAAACTGTGTTTGGAGCAAGGAGTGAAGTCCTCAGCCCATTACTGCCTCTGTCCCATGTGATGGGAATAGCCGGTCCATTGTCGGCTGTAGTCCCACCGTTGTACACAATCGGAAAATGGTCCTGAAACAAAAAATGCAACCGTCCAATAGTTGCTAAAATAACAATTATAATTGTTCACTGAACTTTGTATACCCAAGGACCACAAACTGAAGACAAAGACAACCATACACTAGTATGCAGTATGTAGATTTCGCACAACGTGCTGCTATATGGTGGAAACGAATGTTATATAAACTAGCTATTCTGTCAGTAACTTCATAGAGTTCAGCACAGACCTTGAAGAGGGAGTACATGTTGCCGCCATACTGCTGTAGGAAGCCGTTGGTTGTGTAATACCTCAGGTAGGCGGCAGACTTGTACTGGGACAGCGGCTTGTCATTGGGCACGTGCCACAGCATTACGTCAGAGGCATTAATACTGAAGTAACCTGAAAAATATGTGGAAATGTGTTGTTGTTTTTTCTTTTATCCATATCAGAATGAAACTCGGTACTGAGGATGTTAAGTAATATATTGAACTGCTTATATCGTCATTTATCCTGCAGGATGATGACAGATTGTTCCCGTGGCCTGAAACTAAAGGGGGTCTGTGGTAAAATTTCATTGGCGACTTATTAGCTCTGGAGCCGAGGACCTAGCCTGTAGCTGGCCATGGCAACAAACTCACATCCGGGCTAATCACCACTCGAAACTTACATGTTCTGAAGTCAAAGTCAAACTTTATACACATTTTGGGTGGACGTACCTGGGTTCTTGAGGTCGTCGTTGGTCGCCAGCGGCACCGAGCCGAAAGTGTTGTGGTTAGCCCAGTTGCCGTCCCCTTCGGGATAGTTAGTGGTGCTTCCCCGGGTGGAGGACCAGCGGTCCCCGGCGGTACACTTGCCGTAGATGTCGTTCTCGTGCACGCTGGACACGAGAGTCCATCCGCCACCGCCAGTCGTCATGTCGCAGTAGGTCTCGTACACCACCCCTCCCGGACTGCGAAGGTGGTACAGTCCGTCTGGGCGGGAAAATGCGCTTGTTTTCTGAGGCTATATTTTCACAAAAACAATTTTTATCCAACACGACAACCATGACTACTTGCTTGTTGAAACATTATCCAATTCTTACCTTCCGCTCCGTCCACATGGTCCTTGATGTACTTGCAGGACACTGCCGGGTTGGTCGCACTTCCCACCGCTGTGTTGTTGAAGGACACCAAGCGCGTCTCTATCTGGGAAGTCTTCTTCTCCACCGCAGCAAGACCATGTTCCAAATCGGCTATACGCCGCTGTGTACGTTAATATGAAACATTTTGCATCATTTTCTAATCTCGGACTCTAAGAGAATTTGCTTTAAAAGTTTGTTTCGGATATCAACAAATATAATCAAATATGTTCTCACCGGCACTTCTTCTCCATAACAGCCACAGCTAGCAGGCCCCGGGGGTCCCTGTACCCCGTCCCGACCGTCCCGTCCGGCAGGCCCAGGGGGACCAGGAGATCCCTGTACCCCGTCTGGACCGTCCTGTCCAACAGGCCCAAGGGGACCAGGAGGTCCCTGTACCCCGTCCCGACCGTCCCGTCCGACAGGCCCGGGGGGACCTGGAGGGCCTTGTATACATCCTGTCAAGTAAATTATGTAACGTTATATACTAGTACATAAAATGATTCGACTTTGCCACCGAAAGATCAGCTTGCAGATTAATGTATCCTCACTTACATCCATAAGACATGTAAGAATGAACGACGTTGAATAGGTATACACGATCTGTGCTTGCAAATGAAAACGGCAACACGATCATACCTTCGTGAGACCGCGCTGAGCGGGCAGGGGGGTTGACCTATTCTCAACGCTGTAGCGTGTGCAATTATCAACCAAATTCCATGAAACTCACACACAATGTACAAAACAATATAGGGATAACTGCTGTAAAGTTATTTTGTCAAAGTTATGGATGATTGTACCAAAAATATGATCTGAAAAACGAACTTCCGGTGTGGAAAATCACCATTCGGTTGTGACAAGTTTAGTGGCTTAAAACATCGAAATCTTGCGCAAACCTTGGTCACAAACAATTTTATACATACCAAGACATGTCCGTATAGATTTAGTTTGCTTAGATTTTACTTAAGTTAAGAGAAAATCTCGGAAAAGTGCTTGATTTTCGTCCAAAACTTGGCACGCCAACTTGGCACGCCGTGGCTAGCTCGCCCTGCACGGCCGCCGGAAAGTAAAGCTATACGGACACGCCCCACATGTGACAGAATCGTGGCCTGACTCCAAATATGGCATGGCACGAACTAATCCCGAGAATTAATGTCACAAAAACAGGGCATATGGTTGGCTGACGGCCCTCCGAACTTTGCCGAACCGAAAATGTATGCAGAATGAGGTGTCAATCACCCAGCTTGGCCAGGCAGCGCGCGCCCCCCGGGGAGGTCCCAGATGCATGCGTGGCCGGCCGGAACAAGGCGCGGCTGCAGAGCTAGTAACTACGTTTTGAACAAGGGAAAACAGATAAACTAGACAGAGGGAAGGCCATACTAGCTGCGTCGAAGCTGGCAAATATTGTTATAAGCATTGTATATTTAATAATAGTTGTGTAGCTGAGCAAGGCTTCCGACAGCTCGGTGACGGCTTGTTTACTGATAATGTGACCCCGGATCGCCTGATCCATTGTCACTGTCTGTCAGGCATTGTGTTGCGGAAAAAAAAAATCGACATTCTATTAGGACTACAGCAGTGATTATCGATCCTTCTGTTTTCTTTATTGATATTTTTATTTGTCTTGTATACATATTATCATGCTAACATTTTACCGGTAAATGTAGATTATAACCTTTCCTTCCCACGTAAATCAGTGCTTACCTCTCCCATGTTGGTATCATCCAAGTAGCGTTTTCCTCTGCGTTTTCGCTGGATCTGTCTGGAATATCGACCGATGAATTTCCTTGAAAGAGTACATTTCCGCGAGTACGTGTCACAGAACACTCTCTCTTGTTTTGTAATGTGGTATTTGGGGCGCGATGTGATTTCTAGGTTGTCTTTCAACCCGACAAAGTACTGGGGTCCATGCAAGATTTATGACCTGCGGTCCGCGCGGCAGGCGGTGTAACTAATCTCGACCCAGAGGAGAGGCCTAGATTAGCGTTCGGCAAAGTTCGGCCAGCCGTTCCACATGAGTGAAATCCTGGCTTAGGCGGCACCACGAGTAAAGGCCAGGACACATGCGTCGCATGATCGCAAACTACTGATGATTTGAATAGCCATGTGTCCTGCAAATTGCAGCTTGTTACGGAATTGAAAAGGCAGAAAATCCTACGGCTTATCAGGTCATTAGAACATCGTATATGACTACTAAAGACGAAGGCGCCTGAATAGACCCCTACCTGAAATTGGCAATCTCTCCGGGTTTCCGCCATGCCCAACAGCCTGCCTCTTTGACCGCATCCGCTGGATCGAGTCTTCGTCCTTCTGGACTCCTACCGAACCGTTGTCGAAAGTCTCCGAGCCCTCGGCCATTAGCGGTGAGCCAGAGAAATATGTTGATATGGTGTGGGGCAAATTTTGATCACGTAGTGTTTGCGTATATATTTCATCCCATGTCAAACGAAATGTATCTACATATTGGATACAACATACTAGTACTCTTTACACAGCAGAGGGCGAAGTTTGCATAGGATACGTGGTAAGCGTTACATTATAGAATCAGAGGCTTACTAGTATATTACTTCATTGATAGAACACATTCTAATGCCCACCTTTGTGTCGAGTACGGAACTGTGTTCCGACCAGAGTCCGTCTTGAATCTTAGTCTCCACCACTGTCACACGTTCCAGAAGTGACTGGCTCTTCTCTCTCCAGTACACCAACTCCTTCTCGACCGAGGCAAGCCGCTCTCGCAGGGAGGCGACGTCGTCTTGCCGAACCAGGCCGCCGCTGTGCAGGAAGCTCACGAGCAGGACGGCCACGGTCACCGCCAAGCTGCACACGGCCAACCCCGCCGCCAGGGACAGCCGCTCGCTCCTGTGCTCGTGCGCCATTTTTCTGATGCGTACTTTTTCTTCACTCATGGACTCTAGACCTTCTGAAAGGCGATACAAAATCAACCAGGCACCTCCGTCTAAAGTACCGACCGCTGAATTTTACTTCCTTCTGAGACTGGAATATCTTATTTCCGCCTGCGACTCGGGTCCTTCGTGATCTGTGGTCACGTGATTCAGAATAGAAATCAAGTGCGTGAACTAATGGGTGTGCAAAACTTGGCACGCTGCTCGTGGAGATGGAGAATGCCAAAACTCCCTCCGTTCCTTCCGCGACTAACTCCCTTCTGGGCAAATGTAGAGGGATAACGGTACACCCTCATAGCGTCACCAAATGAGGTACTTTGTGAAGGTCCGTTTCATTTGGTATATATTACCATTGTGACAGCATTTTATACCCCAAAATAGGAATCTTGCGTCTTGTTTTAGGTCCCGATAGTAGAAAGAATGCAGTGTACATGTATTCAGATGGCCGCCGTGTAACGTTACGTACTAGCGAGCGCGCACAACAATACCGCCAGAGTAGAGTACGTAGGTTATCATAACTCTTTAGAAAGCGCAAAGAAAACAAAAACGACAGATTTGCATTAAAGAAAGTTTATTTTCCATAGCCTGGGCTAAGCCACGATCTATAACCTATGGCTTCTCCACGGGCGTTGGGGACGAGCGTGGGTCCTTCGTGATCTGTGGTCGTGATTCAGAATAGAAATCAAGTGCGTGAACTAATGGGTGTGCTCACTGCTACCAAGTGGTTCCACGGTAATATAATTGCTACGGAAGATCACGTATAACCATGGCGCAACATCGATGAAATATAGCCCTAATACCAAATGTTCTCACGTATTGTTCTGGATAAATTTTAATATTGGTTTAGTGGACCCCCATACCAACGTACTAGTCCCGATCCCGAGGAGTCAAGTGCTTAATTTCCATCAGGTCATACGGTGGCAAGGCATCATCCGCTGGCCAGAGCAGTGTCCATTAGCTACCTACATGTAGATGCCCACCTTGCAGTTTCTGACTGTGGGCAGGCTCTTGCCCAGGACAGGTCTACCATGGCCTTGGTACCCAAAGCATGACACAACTGTAATACTAGAAAGGTAACATTTGCAAATCAAGTGCATTATGGTTACCTTCACATGGCCCAGCTCAACAAACTACTGCTTTGTTTATTCTTCCTCAAGCACACTTATATATATGGTGACCATATTCAATATTTCAGCCCCTCTTAAAGGTCGCAGCACACAGTATTTATGGACACAAAGTATCGCGGCAAATTACTTAAGAAAGCTGTCGAGATTCTTTCATGCAGGATAGCGAGGTGAAAACTATGCTGAATTGTAGAGAAATGCACCGGGTTTGGGACCGTATAATTTGAATTAGGATGTTTGTTCGGCCGGGGTCAATTCGCGCCTAGATCTTGTTACAACCTAGTCCTGTGCGTCGGCTGCAGTTCACGTGGCCCCCGCAAAGCGTCATTTAGAAGTTTTTGGCGACGCCTCAGGGGCGGAGCCGTTGGTATAGTACTGCGATTGAGTTGAAAATATTCTAAGAATTCCGCCAATGCATTCCCTAGGGAATTGCTTTTTGGCTATACCTTGTGGGACTTATTCTCCAAGCAGAGGTTGGAGGGGAAGATCGTTACCCCCGCTAACGATCATCCCCACCAACCTCTGCTTGGAGAGTAGTGGGACCAGCCTTTACACATAGGCTTGTGGCATGAGACATGCAGTAGTCTGTACAGTGTTTCTACGATATTTATTTTATTTATTTATTTCAGCTTCATTACAAAGTATGTAATTGGACAGGGGGAACAGGTCTAGCCTTTGTCTTAACTATGTGATGATAGTGATGTTTTGTGTAAGGGATTTTATTCATTTGTGTGGGTGTTTGCGTCAGTATTGCTTTTTTTTATTCTTGGATTTTTTTTGCTTTCACGGTGCTGCTAGCCTGGGTGCCATCCGAATTTGCCCGTAGCCGTTACAAATTCGGATGGCACCCAGGCTACGATGCTGCTGCATTCAATGCTTATTTTTCTTGCGTGAAAAACTCGCATGCACACCCCGATCCTTCCACAACTTGGCGTCGTGAATTCCTGCTGTAGTCTGCATCTCAGGATGGACTTGGCGAAGTTTACCTGTGGTCAAAAAAACAGAACATAAATGAATCTATGCCAACCTTTCCCTAGCTTTGCTCTTAAATTAACAAGATTTAGGGTCATGTTTTTAGAAGTAAATGTAAATATGCAAAGCATGTGAGTCAATACATTTTACAGAATGCAATGATGCGCACATCAAACTAAACAAAGGTTGAAAGTCATATGTATGTTCATTCATCAAGAACGATGTTACAGTACAATAACACATGAACTACATGTTCCCCAGATCAACAGAAACGGCAAATATATTGTGTGGACTTACCGCTGTTTTTGTCCTTCTGTAAATGGTACTGTTAGTCCATCTTGTCAGTGAATGTCGAGTGAATGAGGGGCACTCGCTGTGGGCAAATGAATAAATTTATGCCACTTCTGCCTTTCAAGAGACTCAAAAGGAACACCGATTGGAATCTCTGCCGGTAGATATTCTGATCAGAGTCTCAGCTGTTACAATCATTACATTTTACTGTACAGAAATACATGCTATTTAGGTTTTACGACAATCACAAACTATTTAAATTATACCGGCAGCTACCAGCAATTTCATTGAATGTTTAACATTTAGGATATGTTATTATATCATAGCAATAGACTTCTTCCAGATTGGAGTTTCTACCCAGTCTCAGGTACTGTTGTAAAGAATTTGACCTGAGAAAAGGCTGCAGGACTCAGGGCCTGATGTAGGGTGGGAAAATACTGGCACGTTGTTGATATAATAATCAATCTGGACAGGTAAGTCTTATCAGAGGGGAGAGGATATTACTTGTAGGTAAGGGTTGGAAATCCTGGAGGAACATGTAAGGTGGTTAAAACTTTACGTAAACAAAATTCCGACGCCCTCTTACATGATAAAAGATAACAGATGTTTGTCCATCTCACCAGTGAATTCCTTTTGTAGCCCGGGAGTGGGCATGGGCATGGCGTAGCTCACCTGCGGGGACAAAGAGAGAAAAAGAATGAATAAATTGAAGCCGTTCCCAGAGAAACAAATGGCATTGGCTTCCATTTGTAAATATGTGTCAGGATAGACACCCCGGTAACTTACGGTGGAACATGTCAAGTTGCTGAAACTTTACGTAAACAAAATTATGACCTACACTAAAATGATGAAAGATAACAGGTGTGGTAAAGCAACTTAAGAATACGTACTTGCTTAGTGCCCATCAATATGTCATAATGATCAATTGGATCAGTAATAACATTGAAAGTAGGCCGCGTGGGCGACGGCGTATGCCGACACAAACGCATACAAGGGGGCACACCCCAGTTTATGTTGGGTCACAATTCGATTCTGCACACCCTCAACTCTATTTCAGGAAATAATTCTTAAGCCGAAACACTGTTTGCAAATGAAGGATATCCCTCTAGCTACGAGAACAATCGAATTTCAGTTTCCATAACCTCTCAAATTGTAGCAAATTTTAGGGCAAAAAGAATTTTCGATGAAAAAAATGATGCCAAAAATTGGGCATTTTTACGTGCAATTAAACCCATCACCAATAATTTAGCCACCAAAATGACTTAAACTGTCGAAAGAGAATGTATGATCAAGAAAAATATACAGAAAAATCCTAACACTGAGATTATCACAATAGCCCGTCGCGCGACACATAGCGACAGAACCCCCAGAACACATAAAAGGCATATCTGGGT